TTGGGGAAAAAATGTGTGTTGCAAGACCAACCAAGCTTTGGAAAAGTTTTTGGGTATTTCAAAATAAACAGCCCTCTTCTGTTTCTGAATAAACCCTCTGGACACCCAAAGTTTCCAATTCCTTTGGCTCAGCTTTGCCTACATCAGTCTTTAAGTTTAGAAGTGTGTCCCAATTGAAGTTTCTGGGTAACAGCCAAGGAAGGAAAATCTGCCTAAGTTACAGCAGGCATGACTTCCAGGTCCAGGTTTTTCTGGGATTGAGTATAACAATGATTAGTAAGTTGTTGTTACAGCTTGCTAGAAAAAGCATGTGGGTTTGTGGCTGTCAAACACCAACACTGGGTTTTGCAGTGCTGTCTCATGCTCTGCTAGAGTATACAAAGCAAGTCAAAGAAAAGGCATCAGAGCCCCAAAAGCTTTCAGCTGAGGTTTTTTGTATTTTTTTTTCATAATTGTAGTCTATTAAAAGATACTCTTTTTTTTCTCCCTATAAATATCTTTCTACACATTACTGTCACTATCCGGAACTCTGCCTGCCTTTCTGCAGTCTCAGTCTCAGCTTTTCTGTACAGTAAGGGCTATAAGAAAAGCTTCCCAAAGTCCTGTTTAATAAAGGCTTTATTGTGAATATTTTATTAGTGCATTACTTGTTGGACTTTTTTGTAGGACATCAAAACTCAAACATTAAATTTTAAGTAATGTGTCATTTCAATAACTTTGAAATTTAAAATAATTCCCTTTTGAAACTTACAACAGGACATTAACATACTCATTTTGTTATATTACATTTTTTAAGTAGCAGAGTAACACAGCACTGACTCTGTTTTTGTGTGGAAAGACCACTGAGTGAGAGTAGGCATTAGTCAGTCAATGCCCAAATCCATAAGCAGATGACCTGCCATGAACAGGTCTGAAACACAGAACTTGTGTTTCTGGCTTTGATACCCAGAGGCATCCATACATTAAGGTAAGGTCTATGTGCATTTTCAGTGGGATCAATAGTTATCTCCAATATTCCAGCAAGATATCTATCTCTTCACCCAAATTATCCTTTTACTTAAAAATGGGGGAACATAAACCATGATATGTTTGTTAACAAACATTCAGTTCTTATGTTGGATATATATTTCCAGCATTTAATATTTTATGGTGTTATGCTATTACAAACTATTAGTGGAAGAGAGATATTCTGAAAGCAAATAATTGATTTTCAGTTGCAGAGAATAACCTGAATCTGGATCATCTAAGTGCAATGGAACACTTTGTATATCCATACCATTAAAAATCTGTTAATATTTTATCTTATTAGTCCATCCCAATAATGAGCTCTTATCTGGTAACAAATTTGACTTCTCTTGCCACCTAAATTAACCTTCAGTCCCATGAAAGATTAAAAATTTACAAAGTTTTAAAAAAATTGCATCTCTAAGCTGAAGGCATTCATCCTGATAGATCCAATTTGTGATTTGAATTTTATATACATTTAATGGTAATATGGTTTGTGTCTTTCTTTATCATAAATGCTTTTCCTAGGCCAAAGAGAATCTCTACACTATAATACTGAATTACTTTGAAAAAAAAAATCAACAAAGCAGTGTTGGCTTTTAAAGGAGGAAATTATGTGGATAAAGGACATTTGTTTCAGAATTCCAAAGGATTATCACAATAGCCTTTGATTTAAGAATATATGTTAGATATAGTGATGGTTAAGTGATAAAAGCTAGGACATCAAATAGCAGGATACACTTTTGCTACAGCGGATTTTAAATCAAACTGGATACATTATCTTTGCTGCTCTTCCTTTAAACCAGAGGAATAGAAGTCATTTTAACTGCAACAAAACAAAATAAAACAAACCCTAAACAAATAAACAAAAAACACAACAAACCACTCCCAAAAAAACCAAAAAAAAAACCCAACAACAAAAAACCCCTAAATCAAAATAAAACAAAAAAAACCAGATGCAAATGGCAGAAATAGATTTTTGTCCTATTGTCTTTTGTTCTACTGAGTCATACAATAGAAAATGTTATGAACCACTCACAGTGTCACAGTGATAGGTAAATGGAAATCTGTACAACAGGGAATTCATAGAAAAACATTATACTGGTCATGAGTCATTGCTATGACTAAGAGAAGTAAACATCTATTGCTATTCTAATAATCTCAATTTCTTACTATTAAGGCAATGTGTCAGTAAGGAGACTGATGCAGAGATGAGTTAAGAGCCCAAGACTTAACACTCTTGTTGGCTTTACTGTTAAATGCAGGCCAGATCCTGGCAATTAATACTGATTTCAAACACCATGACAACGAGATGCAAAACTGATCCAAACATGAAGGCCTATATTTATATTTTGTAAGCAAGTTCTTCAGTCTGGTAGTCACTCCAGGCTGGCAGCTGTCTCTGCATTGCATTGCAACTGGGCTGCTTTTAGCTCATTTGCAGGTTTTCATCAGCCCCTTCCTACTCCTTTTCACTCTCAGTTCTCCAAAGTCACAGGTTCTGTTTTCCTTAGCTTTTCTTCTTTCCCTTAAAAGCAAACATCTCCTTGTTTGGATACATGTGCTTTGCCTGAAGCCAAGCCACTGCCTCCAGCAGTCTCAAGCCCTGCAGCTCCTGCAGGATGACAGCGAGGTGTGACCATCACCCAGGGACAGGCCAGATGTGAACCAGAAATTCTCTCCTCAAGTAGCTCCTTTCCAGGGCGACCTGCAGACAAAATTTCACACTGCCCTCCAAGCGTGGGCCTGTGTTCCCCAGGCACCAACACCTGCTCTGGGCCAGCTCCCTTCTTCCCTGCCTCCCAGGAAAGATGCTGAGCTCTCCAACTCTCACAGGGTAGAAGAGAAATACATAAAAAATGTTTTTCCTAATTTTTGTGACTTGTATAACAGTTTACGAGCAATTTCTTTTGGAAAGATCTCAGTCTTGATGAGCAAACCTGCATAGTAGGAAGAGCAACTATAGTGGAGGTGGAATGTCACACTCCTTTTGTGCATATGCATTTGAATGAAATGGTAAACACTTGTCTGAATCACCACCACTCAGATGTCATCTTCTTCTCTCTATTTTCAGCTTGAGGGGGAGGAGAGCTGCCAGAACAGAAACCCTGAAGTGATGAGCTCCAGCCAACTGCTCCCAGATTAATTATCCACCGGTGATCCCATGTTTAACACACTACTTATGGATATTTTTGCTAACAGCTCAACCCGTCGCAATGCTAGACAAGTAAGAACTTTCCAGGGATTACATATTTGGGCTTTTCTTCTTTAAATACCTTGAGAGTATCCTTCTCCATAAGTGTATGAAGTAGTATGTGCTGTATCCTCTTTGCCAGGGCCTAAAACATTGCTAAGCCCAGGAGAAGCTGTGTTCTGGTATGGTGTGTGACTGAGCATCACTAACGCACTCCCATCTTCCCACATCTCAGTTTCACACAAGAAGCTCCTTCTTAGAGTGTTTCTCTCTTATTTCATTAGGAAAATGGCAATAGTAAATAATTGCTGTTATTAGTTGGTTTGAATTACTTCTGAGGTGTTTTTAATTTCAAATATTTTTGAGTACACAGATTTTCAATGTGTTATCCTTGGTCCACTGATTGGCTTCCAATGATCTTGAAAGTTTTGTCACTGGGAATTAATTACTGATAATAACAAACTACACTTAATAGTACAACATCCAAGAAATGTCCACATATCTTAAGGTCTGGCTGGCATAAAAAGTAATCCCACAAGAAGGTGCTCCTAAAAACCAGGCTGACTGACAAGAATGTAGAGCTTTGTACATGCTGTAAAATGATATTTATTAATGATTAGAGTATTACCTCTGCCAAAAGCAAAGGGAAATGCAAATATCCTCCTATTATCATACAGCTACTGTTTTAGATAAAAGGTTAACCTCAGATAATTCATAACAGGTCTCCAGCAATTCCTTATTAATAAACACTGAGATCTGCTATTTTGGTTTTTCAGAGACAGCCATTTTAGGCCCTTGTGTTAGTTTTGCTGTCCACAATTAATCCTTGTCAGAGCAGATTTTAGTTTATGTTTTTGGTGCAAGAACCAAGAACCTTTGAGCAGGGCCTCTTAGACACAGGCACTTCATCATCATTCTTATCCATATATATGTAGCAGGAAAGATGGTTTTAATTTTTCAAAGCAATTTTAAATAGAATCAAGGAGATTTTTTTTCCAGTCAGAATTAATCATTGCTTATACACAGCTTTTTAAACAACACATTTCAAAATGCCTCTTCTTGTCTCAGAGCAAGGAGGATTTGGGCATGATCCCTCTGGGAAATGATTATCATAGCCCTTGGAACAAGTGTCCTTTTGAAGTACTGATAGAGAGCAGGCAAATAGAACACTCAGGGGTATTCTTGATAGGGGAAGGAGATGACCAAGTCTTTATCGGTTAATTCATAATGTAGGATAAGTTACAGTGCTGTGGTTTCCCATCCATACTAGAAACAAAAGAATGTTTGCAAAAAGAGAGCCCTATAGCTCTCTAAATAAGTATGTTGAAAAGTACTGATTGAAGGCATAGGTAGGCTGGCTACCTGAGGAAGGCTGCAGGGACAGCTTCTCTTGAAGGACAGGTTCTCCCACTAGCTACCTCCTCCACAGAGTGCTTCAAAAACCTGGGGCTACAGATGGACTCAGCTCCAGCAGCAGGCAGGCAATGCCCTGTTCTGTTTAGTCATCACAAAAATGCACTTCAACAAGTTAATAAGTGAACATAAGGCTATCAACTCCTGAAAAAATAGAAATGTATTTCCAGCTTCCCATGTATCTTCTTCTTCCTACCTTCACCACATATGAAGGCTTTAAAAGCACATTTAGCTTATTTGGTATAATATATATGCAACTTTAAAAACAGTTCCATCAAAAAGTGGCCCCTTGTATGCATAGGTAGGTTAAAATGAAGCTCACAAGCTGCTGAGGCTCATTTCAGTCCTTGGGCCAATTTTTCAAGTACAATTTTAACATCTGACTCAAAGCCCCCCTACACAAACAGCAGCCTATGCTTTGGATCAGCAGATACTGCTAACATTGCTTGAACCAGCAGCCTGAGATCCACTGCAATTTTATTCTAATAGGCATCATCTAATTAGGTAGTGTGGATAGGCAAAGTTCCAATGATACATAACTTATCATAATCCATATGAAAGCAGTTTATTTCAAAGGAAGCTGACAGCAGAGAAAAGATGAGCCACAGGGACAAAAATGGAGCCTTTTAATGATTTCAGAACTGAGGTATTACCAGATATAGAAAAAGGGTAGGCAGGCCCAGGAAGAACAGACTCAGGAGGAGGCACGACAAAGCCATTGGAGAATAGATATGCAAATGTTCCAACACATTTCAAGTATTTACATCACTGGTAGGATATTTCCTACGTACCCAAAGCACATGGCAGAAATGTTATAACCTATCACGAATTAGAATAATTCAGTTATGTATTCTGCATATCAGACAGTCTCTTATTTAGGGTATTTAAACACTGTAATCTGCAAGAAACAGCTGTCTTTTTTGCACTAAATGCTTTCTAAACAATTTTTTCCATATCCTCAGTTCACTTCTGACTGAATTAATCTGGCTTTTCTGAGTTTGTATGTCACCCCCTTCTCTTTTTTTAACAAGTTGGGTAAGAAGAACAAAAGAAACAGAAAGATTTGCAATTTCATCAGGTAATGTTAACTATGCAGTAGAAGATGTTGGTTTGTTATAAAAGCAGTAACAAAGGCACTCAGATCCTGTGAAGTAATGCTTAAAATGCCATTTGCTGGAATGAGCACTACAAAGAGAGGACAGTACAGTCTCACATCCCTTCAGATCCCTCAGCTGTGCAGCACAGAATGGGCTCCAATCCACACACACATCTTGCCTATGGAAGGCCACCTTATTTGAGTTTTTACAGGACTTTCCTACCAGAAAACAACCTCTGCTCACTACTTCAAAGGTCAGTCAGAAAGGATGTTCACATGAGAACTTCCAGCTGCACTTTGAGATAAAAGGCAAGGACACCCAAGTGGCATCACTGCCAGCACTGAGTGGGAGCTTGTTGTGGTTTGACTAGGAAGGAGTGAGAATTTTGGGAAGCTGTGGTTAAACTAATGAAGGTTTTGGGTTTGAGACTGGCGTTTAGTGTGGCTAGTGGGGTTTGGACACACTTCTGAGAATACACAGGGGTTAAAAGCAAGGCACTGCTCTTAGCACTCTTAGCCTGCAGCTCCTCTGTTATGGCTACCTGGCCAAGGTTTCCTGCAGCCAGAGACAAACACAGCACAAGGACAGCACAGCCCGGGCCTGGGCACATTCAGGTTAATTTTTAACTATTTCGTGGATCCCAGCTCAGAAACATTTTAAACACACAGTCAGCTCCCTGCTCCTTCCTAAGTTTGGAATAACTTCCCAGGGTTGCTCCAATTTGTAAGCCTCACTATATATTTTTCTTCAATCTTGTCTCCTTATCCAAGCTCAACTTGTACCATTTTTAAGAGAGGGAGGAGAGCAGCAAGATCCAAGCATTGGTTAACTCTGACTTCAGATGGAGCTTCTGTCTCTTGAGTCTAGAACAGTTTCCGAAGAGCCATTTATTCTGTGACCACATAATAATGCAGGTCTGCTCTAGAGAAGAGGTATCAGTTGCCAGAGACACTGTATGGACTACGTGAACCACTGCCTCATTTGGCACAGCAATCCCTAACCCCAGAGGTGGAATTCTGTTTACTGGAATACCAGCTGCATTCACACATACAGACTGGTATTTCTGGAGATGTCAAAATATTTCAAAGCAATTGTTTTGGACTTCCTCTGGATGTCTTTATTAAGCACATAAGCATCTAATAATTTGAAATCTACAAAGCTCATGACTTCAGCTCCAAGATTTCTACCTTCTTAAATCTTTCCTGTTAGGACATTTCCATTCAGAGATTTGTTTGTTTAAAAAGGATCTTTTGATCCTTTTTACCAACCATTAAGACAAATTCTTTCAAATTTACAGCTGAGAGGTTCCAATTAAAACCCATTATTACTTCAGGTGAACCAGCAATTTCTAAAGTAAGCTTCTATTATCTTCTACATTATATTCCATTTCATACCTTGGGAGTTGTAATTTGTATTTTTATGACTGTGGAGCATAAAGGGTGTCTGTCAATTGTTCATTGAGAACTCCTTGTAAAGCATGTTTAGAATGCAGTGAGATATATTAATAGTATTTCCTCCCACAATATGTTAAAATTTGTATCTTTCTGATTCTCTTTCATTTATGTTGTCTCATGTCTCTGTGATAATTCTTTTTCTTTGTTGATGAGCCTAAGGGATTTGTGGAAACATCAAATCTTGTCACCTGCCAGCTCATCTCAGCACCTCAATAGTCTGGGATGTAGTCTAAGTCTGAAAAAGTGCCTTCTCTTTGGCATGAAAACCTGAATATTTATCCTCTCTCATTTTTGTGTAGCCAGTTCCCGCTCTGTGGCAATGCCTTTCCATCCTGTTCTCACAGACTGTGCTAGGCACGCTCATGGGTTTACACGCCATTGTGCAATCCAAGTACAGCCCTCCATAGACCAAAGCACACATTTCCCCTTGGTGCCAGCAACTCAAGCCACACTAACACTACCTTGCAAGAGTGCCTTATGAATGTGGAAAGCAGAAGCAGGCAAGCACCAATACAGGGGATGGCAACAGCAGCAATGAATGTTCTATGTCACAACTGCAAGAGCTGGCACCAGGCATGAAACCAACACTTGGGCTGAGTCTGACCAAGGCACCCCAGCCAGGAAGATTCACCTTCACACTCAGCTTCACTGGGCTCAGCAACTGCAGCAAGGGTCAACTGGGCAGCTGGCATCTGTCACTGCACAAACTACAAAGTGCTGTATTTTAGGCCAGCCCTAAAGCACATTTTCCATATAAAGAAAAAACTCCAGAAATAATTTTAATACAAAATGTTTTTATTGTTTTTGAAAACATTTAAAAAACAATTTTTGAGCACTTTCAATAAAAAAAATAACTGAAATGCTACTGCAATATTCAACTACTGTAGTTTCAGCAGTACAACAGACAACAAAACACTGGGGAAGAGGGGAGAAACTGGATTTCCTGCACTAAATGAAAATGTGGAACAGGGATTTTTCTTTCCTTATGGTGCAGTAAATAAAGCACAGTATAGTACAAGACTATTATATGATCCTCAGATGCACTGCACAAGAAACGCTTTCCTTCTTTTCAGTTCGGAAGTCAGTGCTTATTGCAATTATTTGCAAATTATTTACTTCATGAATTCTTATCATGATAAAATGATGCAAAAATGTTTTTCAACACCAGAACAATAAAAAATAATCCAAGAAAGGAACATATTCAACAATAACTAAGCTGAATTAGTTAACATAAAAAAGTAAATAACTTGTGAATAACTATGCTCACCTGGTTAACACTGAACCAGCTTCAATACAGCAAAAGAATAAAAAAAATAAAAGTGGTTACAGGAATATATCTAGTACTGTACAAGATTAAGTCATTAACACTCATGCACGTTTTGTGATCATGTATTAACATGGTGAAGCAAACTAAACTTAATTTTTCCTGCTGCAATATTCTCATGTAAGAGAATCAAAAATAGAAATATCTCATTGAGATCAATGCACATTGCTACATAAGACAATTTCACCTGTCACTTGTAATGACATTTTGCCTTTTAATAATGAAACACATTAAAAAGTTTTTTTTTTTTCATTTTGCCTTTTTTTTAAATCTGTGGGCCGTATTTGTTGCATTTATCCTAAGGAATGTGCCTGCCACAGGTTCAACAGAATTTTAGTGCAATATATGAACCCAGAAAGTTTGCTGGACTAACCAAGCAATCAAATTTAAAGTGTTTGCTGCAATACTGTACACAGGGTACAAATTCACTAGTTTGTATACTTTAGCAAAAACTGCTATCAAAATAATTTATTTCTTATGTTAGTAGGAAGCCAATAATGTAAACAAGGGGTCAGAACTGTCTCAAATTCAAAGTTTTGGAGTATCTGACAAAGACAGGCTTCCATTTGTTAGGATCACAGAATTTTCCTTTGGGTATTGCATACTTTGGTGTGCAGTAGTGCTCTGTCTCAATGTATCATAAAGAACTAACTAGCACTAAGTAGAGGGACCTAACATTAATTATAACACCAACACACAAACATCTCTAGAATGATACATACCAATGTACAAAGCTGTGCCTGTGCCTTGGATTTTACTTGAAATAATTCTTATCAAATTTAATACTTTTAATTTTAAACATATATTTGCTTTAAACCCACTGATTATAGAATATTTCTGCTAATTAAATCACATGTTAGGCCCAATGTAATGCTTGCGTTTAAAAGAGAATTTTAAACACACTTTTAAAAACCTTTGGTGATGGCTGCATAATTTAGAATGCATCAACTTTAAATCTACTTTTGCTTTTGTGAGAAATCTTAAAAAATCTAGCAGTTAGGCTGAACCTTCCTTGCCCCAGGCAGCCCTCAGTGTCTGAGGCCCAAGGTGAGGCCAGCCCACGGCGGGGCCCGGCTGCTGCAGCTGCCACCGAGTCACAGCATCACACAAGAGCCGAGCTGGAAGGACCCTCCCCTCATCGAAGCAGGTTTCACCTATTGACAGTAGTGCTGGCACCTCACACACGCTCAGGAACAGAAACAGAAGGTGCTGAGTGTCTCTCAGACCCATCCTCCTACCAGGGTGAGGGGATGTTCAACACATCCTCTCAAAAGGCCATGGGCAAGTACAGAATTCAAGCCCTGCCTTCAGCAACTTCGGTCTACAAGAAAAATGGTTCAAGTTTTACTGACACACACCTGGCAGGACAACAAGCAGAAAGTTACAATGCAGCTTTTACTCTCCTCCCCATCACCTTGGAGGAGTCACTTGGTCTGAAAGCAAATCAACATCCTTGTGCTTCAAGGAGGGATCAGAACTCCCCAGGCTCGCTCCTGATGAAGTGGCAAAACTTCTGATGCAAGCACAGAGAAATCGGGCCCCCACAAGGTGCTATTGCTTGGCACACCTGCTTGTCCTTCCAGAAGCCATAAACTGGTGATGAACTGGGGCAAGGGCAAGAGAAGCCATGATATACCAGCACCTCCAGTGCCAATGCAGCAGCACAAGTTGAATCAGCACTGCCAAAAAAATTGACCAGTACTGGGATCTCAAGTCATTTACAAAAACTGAAGAAATAGAAGACCACCAAGTCACTTAAAGAAAAACACTAATCACATGAAAAATCTGAGCATCTTTCCCTTAGAGAAATCTAGGGGGGGTTTACTGAACCTCCCCCTTTGTAAATTTATGACCACTCATCAAAGAAATGCAAAAGAAGAAAATTTTTCCTGCTCTATTTTCTGCTTTGTGTCAGGTCACAGGAAAAGTAATCCATTTCATACTAGGCTTAAGGGATAGTATTGTAGCATACTCAGTGCACTACTTCTTTTGTAAAAATCTGCCTCTGCAAGTCCTCTTTCTAGTATCAAGGCATAGCTGGGTAAATACCTCTCCCTTTTGACCATTAGAGATCCAGGTATGCCATGCTGATAAAATAAAAGGTCTTTTTGGTTTGAGTGAACCAGTGAGACAGGAGTCTAATTCTCATTTTCCAGAGGGGCAGCATTTTTTTCCTTAAAAAAACCAAAAAACAGATTCATCAACCCTGTCAAATCACTTTTGAAAACTGAATTCAGGCTTCTAAAACAGTAAGTACTTTCAAAAGAAGTTTTACCAGAAGAATGATCAAATGTCTTACTGTTTATCTTTAAAGTGCCTGGCAGTATTATGGCTCTATATGAAATATTTTTAGATTAACCACATTTTCTAATATTTTAATAATCTTTTGTTTGAGACAAAGAGGGGGAGCAAGAAAGACAGAAAGGCTCAACCTACTGAAATAGAAAAAAATACATCTTCCTATGCCCTCTACTAGGTTGGGAAAGAGCAAACTTAAAAAAAAGGAGCTTTTAGAAACAGTATTTTAATGAGCTCCAGCAGCTCTCTATTAAAAAAAAAAAGGAAAAAAGAGGGAAAATATCATGGTCCTTCTCTAGCATTGATACACAGTCCCTATCACTTTAAAATATGGGGGTTATGCCTAGATTAAATCTCAGTGCTCAAAATCTTTTTGCATTAATTTTACCTAATACAAAAACATTGACATGAGAACTAAAATATCAAGTATGTCATGAATATTAATGGATAAAATAACTACATAGATTTATTTCTCTTAAATAATAAAATTTAGTGCATCTTTTTCCTTGATCATTCCTGTTAGCTTTTCCCATCTCTGTGTTTTACTGGAGATGCCAATGGCACCAGTGCGACAGAGGTTTCCCCAGGTTCACCATTGAGCAGTGCTCCAGGCAGCTACACAATGATCAGGCATCTGCTGTCACCTGGTCCACTTGCACCCACTCCCCACCACATTACCTACCTGCAGGCACCCTGCATTTCACACCTGGATGGCAAAGGTCAGTAAAGATCACCTACTAAGAAGTAACAACCAATATAAAGTATGGAAAGCCTACAAACAAGCTTGAATTAAAACCCTCCCAAAGCATCAACCATAGCTGTCATCACTGGCTGCCATTAACCACTTCTTTATTTGCTAAAACAAGAAATGTTGAATGGGAAACACTCCAAAATTCAAATTTTAATACTGGCTCTTTGATAGCCCATCACCTTCAGAGATTTGTTTAAAATTGGTAAGACTGCCTTTTCCTTACTGAAGAATGAGCAACAGGTACAGCAAACTTTTTTTAAAAATGCCACAATACATAGCAAGTGTTTCTGCTGCGGGAGGCACTTCCATTAAGACAAATACAATACGTCTGTCTTTTAGATACAGTGTGCTACATACATATTATAAAACAAGATTAACCCAACATTTCAACAGCAGGATGATCCTTACTCTCCATCCACTCAAAACCTGATGCAGTCATTGAGTTAATGGATTCATTGCAGATTTGTTGAAACAAGGGGTCATTTTTTAATTCCTCCAGTGTAGCATCATCATCTTGTCCCTGCTGACGACCTGGATCAAACAGTAGATTTGTGTCTAAAGTGTTCAGATCGTTAATGCTGCCTGAGAGCTCGGAAGACAACCTGATGTCGCTGGGAAAGACAGATGCAACGTTATTGAGATCTGATGCCACCTGATTCACCAGCTGCTGGTTTGTTGGCAGACTGTCCTCCCCTAAAAGGTCTTTTACAGTGCTGCTAAAATCTAATTGCTGCTCTCCGATGTCTGATTGTGCTTGGTTATCTCCAGAAGAAAAACTGATCTGATCGGTGCTGCTATTTTTTGTGAGGTAATTTGGTGTTTGGAATTCATAAACTGAAGTGCTGGAATTGATCATACTTTGTGGGTTGGCACTAGGAAAAGCACTGGATGTCTCCAAAATCTGAGTGAGATTCATCCTGGCTGTGTAATTTGAGGGCATGTTGTTCATTCCCAAACCTCTCACTGCATCATCACTATCAGAATCAAGTTTGTTTAACAACACACTGGTTATTTTTTTAGTGTTTGTTTGTTTCTGAAGAGACGGGAAGGCCGTCTGCATCATCACAGTCAACGGGACTGACTGGCTTCTCTGTGCTATGTTATTGGCACTGGTGTCTGCATGGATATTAGCAAATACATTGTGAACTTCGGGAGTCACCGGACTTCCAAAAGGCGTCACATTAGAACGTGGTATATTTGACACAGGGTAAACAGTGCTTCCACTGAGATTACGCTGGCGATGGACAGCGGGGCTCACGCTCCGGCATCTCAGACTGTTGTTGAGAGATGAACCAGTTCCTTTGTTGTCCAAAGGAGCAGGAACAGCAAAGCCCTCCTGCTTGGTAGTGCTACTGACAGGGGCTGCCTGGTGCTGCACAGGTGAAACAGGAGTCACGCGACCGAAGTGAGGGTCGTGGTGGCGTGGCTGAGACTGGTACGACTGGCCAGGAACTGCAAAAGCGTGAGGTTTCCTGAAGCGATCTTCCACCAGCTCCTGGTAGCTTGTGAGGATGCCATGGTTGGCAACCGAGGAATTACCAACCCCACTGTAGCCGTTGTTCATCCACTCCAGCTTGGTTTTGTCAGGATGGGTAGCCATAGGCCGCTGCATTGGCTTCACAGGGCTACTTGATATGATGCTGGCATCGTGGTAAGCCATGCTAGAGCTGATGGGAGTAAATGCAAACGGGTTTCGGCATTCCACAGGACTCGGAGGGACGCTGCTGCTGCAGTTGGAATGGGGTGTGCCAATGGGCGTGTGCCGGCTGCTGCCCAGGGCACTGTCTACGGGCGTCGTCTGAGCCAGCCTTGAACAAGGGCTCTCTCGAGACATGTTCTGAGATCCAGCAATCATTTCAGAGGTGGGTGTTGGAGTCGGGGTGGGAGTGGGAGTTGGGGTGGGAGTGGGGGTGGGAGTGTGAATTGGAGTGCTGTTGTTATGGATCGAATGGTAAAAGTGCGTGCTGCTTGGATGAGATGATACGGGAGCTCCTTGAGCTGCAGCCTGACTCTGAAGCGCCATTCCTAGACAACCACTGTAAGGATGGGAATTATTCATGGACATTTGCTCCTCCATGAGCACCAGCTCCTCCACAATGCTGTCCTGGGTAAGGTCGTCATCAAACGAAAAGAAGTTTTCATTTGACTGAGGGACTGTATGCTCAAACTCTTTCAGCTCAGACTGCAGAGGTAACTGATTTGAAGACTGTGCTTGTATTTGATCCAAGGAGTCCTGGATCTGGCTCTGTAACTGCTGGCTGTACACATCCTGCTGCATACCTTCGCAGTGCACCGGCTCCCACGCCGACTCCTGCAAGTCACTGGAGCCAGAGTGCCCAGCAATACTCATAACACTGATATCTTGCTGCTGATCACAATTCACAGATGCAAAATCAGAGGTTTTGGTGATATGGTGCCATGTATTTGGGTTAAAGCTGCCATCAGATTTTGAATCATTTTCTATGATAAACAAGTTTCCTTCCAATTTTACTTTTATATCTGGAGATGATGCTGATGCAAGCTGCTGTTCTAAAGCAGGATCACAGGTATTTAAATTGGTGCTCAAAGAAAGGTCTGTTGCTAAGTTTGCAGCAG